GAAAGGACGATGTGCGGCCCAGAAAACCTATCTCAGGAACTTCCAGAAATCAGTGCAGGGGAATGCCATGGGACAGATGCATGCTTCTCCTGCTTGTCGTTCTGCAGGAATGGTGACATTTTCCCGTGGGTATCATGCTACACTTGGTGGGCTGGGTCCTGGCCCCACCGCAGGCCAGCAACATGGAAAGCCCGAGTTCTCAGGGCACAACTGGGGCACAGGATTGTCCCTGTGGCATGACAGGGACAGATCGATGTGTAGTCTTGAGGTCAGAGGCTCACCAGCAGGGCCAGAAGTAGCCAGGGATGGAGGGCCCTTCCTGCCCCCACCTTCTGTCAGGCTCCCACTACTAAGCTTGGAGTCCCAAGTGTCAGAGCAAAAGGGCTGTGGGCCCACACAGGGGAAGTCCTACACCCGAGAAGGGGGCTCCAGAGGGCCCTGAAGAAACTGCCTCTGGTGAACCATTCTGGCCAGCCGCCATTCTCCTCCTGGGAACCTCGGGGACCAGCCCGGTCATCTCTACCCCCAGAGATGCAGTCCAAACTGCAGCCGATGGTGCCATTCTCACCCTGAGACTTGAGTCTAGGGTTCTGCTGGCCAGCCCCTGGAGCAGAGCCTGCTCCACCCCCCAAACCCTGCTCTCCGAAGCGGAGCCTTCTCTCAGGTACCCTCAGGAGGGCAGGCTGTCCCAAGGTGCCAAACCAGACAGGTGTGGCCTCCAAGAGCCCCATGACCCAGATCCCACCATCACTGGAAGGACTGCAGTATCTGGATTCAGTCAGCCGACCATCTGCAACTGCTTCCAGGTGGCTTTTTCCTGTTATTGGAAATGCAAGATATACTTGAGATAAAATGTTTGACCAAAAGTAGAAAAACTAAGTGTGTATGCACGCAGACATAAAATAGAAACTAGAAATTTATCAAAGACTAGCTATAGTCAATCATCTAATACAGTTTCTAAAATTTCTCACAACTAGATTCATTTTCTTTCAAACAAATCGCTATGGACTGAATATTTGTGTACTCCCCAAATTCACATGTTGAAACCTAAGGCCCAAGGTGATGGTATTAGGAGGTAGGCCTGTTCAAGAAGTTTAGGTCATGAAGGGGGAGCCCTCATGAATGGGATTAGTGCCCTTATATAAGAGACCCCACAGGGGTGTCTGGGCGGCTCAGTCGGTTAAGTGTCCGACTCTTGATTTCAGCTCAGGTCATCATCTCAGGTTTGTGAGATCCAGCCTCACATCAGGTTCCGTGCTGGCCATGGAGTCTGCTTAAGATCTTAGGATTCTCTCTCCCCCTTTCCCTCTGACCCCCCTCCAAAAAAAGAAGGAAAAAGAGACCCCGTAGTTTCCTTCATCTCCCATGAGGACAAAGCAGGAATTTAGCAGTGTGCAACCCGGAAAAGGTCCTTCACCAGAAACTGCCCCTGCTGATACCCTGGACTTCATCCTCCAGAACTGTGTTTATAAACCATCCAGTCTGGGACATTTTGTTACAGCAGCCTGGACGGACTAAGACACAGTGGAATTATATATTATACACACACACACACACACAAATATACATATGATTTTTCAACCTCAAAGTTTTTTATTTATTATATGGGCTTGTAGATTATTAATGCCACTGAAAATTATTTCCACATCAACAAGAAAAATACATTGAATTTAAAAAATAAAAGAAATTTTAAGCAACAATACACAAAAAATACTTCTACTTCTCAGGCACTGTCGTAGTCCAGAAGTGAATATGAGTTCAAGACCCCGATTTCTTCCTGAAGACATTGAAGAGTGTGGCTTCATTTTTCTGTGATGATCCCTCCAGAGCTGAATCGTTTCATCAAAAGGAGCATTCCCCTGATTAGAAAAACTCCAAGCACTCAGAACACGATAAGAGGAGTTTTCTAAAGGGAACAAGCCCTCCAGATATGTTAGCACACGCTCGGTTCTTCTGAAGTAAACATGTTGGCTATAAAAGTCAGTAAATAGACCTTTTACAAGGCACATGTAACTTTTACAGCTCAATCGATTTTTTCCTCAAGAATTTTCAGATCTAAATTTTTAATATACTGACCTGAAGTTCCCTGCTATTTTTTTATTTATTTTTTTAAAAGCTTTATTTATTTATTTGAGAGAGCGAGAATGAGAGAGAGAGAGTACATGAGAGGGGGGAGGGTCAGAGGGAGAAGCAGACTCCCCGCTGAGCAGGGAGCCCGATGCGGGACTTGATCCAGGGACTCCAGGATCATGACCTGAGCCGAAGGCAGTCGCTTAACCAACTGAGCCACCCAGGTGCGCCCCCCCCTGCTATTTTTAGATAAAACTATCAGGTATCTCTTCCCTTTAAAGTATGCTATGTGAAATAAAGGTTAAAGTATTTCACTGCCAGAAACCCACACAGATGGAGACAATTACCCAGGGATCTCAAGTCACCGCATAGCAAGCCTGGTGGATACACAGCACTAAGAAGAGACGAGAATCTGCCAAGGGCTCACTCTGCTATGCTCTGAGGCCATTTCACAGGGCCCAGCTCTCCCCAAGACTCCTGACCACAAGGCAGATAAGACACATCCGCAAAGAGCAGAAAGGGGTGAAGAACATCCGTGCACAAGGCACTTGTGACATGGTGATCTAATAAGAAATACATACTTGGTCTCAGTTCCCAGTTCCTGACACCGGAGCTTCTAAGACCCTCAGACTCTCTGGAAGGGTAACAGTGTGTTTTGTATGCTAATGAGGTGACTGGTGGCTGGGGGCCCTTTGATAGCTTCCTGATGGGAGCTGGTCAGATGAGAAAGATGGGAGGCATGATTAGAGGATGGGAACTCTGGGGAGGGGAGAAGGGCTGGAGATGGAATTCGATTGTCATTAGCCAGTGATTTAATCAACCGTGTGTAAATAATGAGGCTTCCAATAAAACCCTTCAACTACAGGTTTGAGGAGCCTCCCAGTTGGGGGACACACTGAGGTGCTCTTCTGGTGGCGTGCCCGCAGAGGGGTCTGTGCACCCTCCATGCACCTTCCCCTACACCTTGCCCACTGGGCTGTTCCTGAGTTGTGTCCTTTAAAATAAACCGGTAATAGTAAATAAAGTGCCTTCCTTAATTCTTCAAGTAGTTCTAGCAAATTATTGAAGGAGGGCCTTGTGGGCCCCCCCTGACTTTCTATCAAGTCTATCAGAAGTACCAGGGACTGACCACTGGCATCTGACATGGGGGCAGTCTGGGGGGACTGAGCCCTTCCCGGTCGGGTCTGCATGGACTCCCCCAGGGGGTTAGTGTCAGAATGGAACTGAATTCACCTGGACCAGGTTAATAATGTCCAGAAAATCAGAGTTGTTAGGAAGGAAAAACCAAAACCCAAACCCAACCAAAACAAACCCCACACATTCGGTGTCAGGAGTATCATAAGTTTAAAAAAAACATTCAGAGCACATGTGAATCAAACTTACCTATTTAGAAACTGTCAAGGTCAAAACTGTGCAGTTCAAAAGTCAGCACCTGGTAGCCTGTCCTCAGGTACCCGAGCCCCTAATGGCATTATGGGGTGAAGGGGAAACAGGCTGAGCGGGTAGGAGAGGACAGGAGCCTTTCCCTCTTAAGTCTCCACCTTGAAACCAGTCCTGTAGTCTTGCCCCCTCCTCTGTCCTCGTTCTCATCAGTCCTGCCTTGGGTGCCCCCATTAACCGTGAAATCCCAGAGCCTGGGGAATAGGGAGCTGTGGATCTCTGCTTTTCCAGTACCAAAAACGGGGCCTGGCCACAGTTCTGGGATCTCATGGGGAAATACACATTTCATTTCTGCCCAGAAATGTTACACCTTCCAAGGTGCTTCTAAGTGTGGGGGGTGTGGGCAGCAGGCCCCAGGGCAGGAAGCACAGTGAGAAACATGAGCTGAGGGCCCCCGGGGCGGGGGGGGGGGGGGCGGGGGACAGCCCCAGGTGGGCACGAAGCAGGCCCGCTGCACGGAGGCTGGCTGGCCTGTCCCAGTAACCAGTGACATAACTTACCAAGGAGCAGGGGTACCTGGGACATCCTCAGACACCTGCTTGGGTCTTTGTATTTGTGGGGCTGATTCCTCCAGAAATGCGCATATCCCCTCTCTGCCTTAAAACAGCACGCAGGTGGTTTGTTTTTGCTTTTGGTTTGGGGTTTGGGGCTTGTTTTCTACCCTCCACCTAGAGAATGTCGTTTAGCTTTGCTGGGGCAGCCAGAGCCGCAGGCATCAGAACCACCCGCTGTTTGTGCCTGGCCGAGGCGCCCGTCTGCAGCCGGAGCCCAGCGCCTCCTTCTCCAGTCTTACCTCCTCCAGGGTCTGCTCTTCCTTTTCCTCCCGTGTCCATTCTTTGTCTCCAACGGCACACTGGCCAACTGTTGGCTCTGAAAAGAAACCTCTTTATAGTTCTTAAAAATAAGCCCAGTCATGTTCTATTTTTAATGGGTTTTAAATGTCTGTTCTACAAAAGAAAAGTCCCTGTAAAAAAGAGAGCCGATGGAACCTCACCCGGGGAGAGGAGTGTGGGCGGGGGCTGGGGAGCCGCGGGCAGAGCAAACCAGGTCTGGGCAACCTTGCGCTGGCCCCACCGGGTGGCGAACCTGGAGGTCCAGAGAGGAAGGCGAAGTTCACGGAGCACCGCTCTGCGTGGGGCGAGAGGTCGGCTCCCTGCCTCAGTCCTTGTCCTTGTGGGAGAGAGGGCAGGGAAGCCACGGATGAGAGACCCTAGGTGCGGGCTCGAGGGCCCCGCCACCACGAAGGCCGCATGTTCCAGCCTCATGCACAGGAAATGGCCTGATGGACGCCTGCCCTTAGGCCTTGAGCACCGCGCCAAACCGCTGTCCAGGCGGGAGGCCTGCCTGCCACCCCTCCTCCCTCGGCGGCTCGGGAGCGCCCGCGGTGCGGTCCCCGGGATGGCGCGGTTGCCTCCCTGGCTTTCCCGGACTGCACCCGGGCCTGAGGTTTTGGGCCTCCCGCCACCTGAACTTGTGTCTTCTGCTTGCAGTTCTTCCCTTACGGGGACGCCTCCAAGTTCGCCCAGCACGCCTTCCGAACCTTTGACAAGAACGGGGACGGCACCATCGACTTCCGAGAGTTCATCTGTGCCCTGTCCATCACCTCGAGGGGCAGCTTCGAGCAGAAGCTGAACTGGGCCTTTAACATGTACGACTTGGACGGCGACGGCAAGATCACGAGGGTGGAGATGCTGGAGATCATAGAGGTGAGGTGGTGGGCCCTCAGGGCGCGGCGGGGCCAGAGGGGTAGGGGGGTGCCCTCCCGGCGAGGCCGGGGCTGGGTGGGGCGGGGG